GAGTGCAAAAATGGAGGCTCTAGCCCCTTCCAGAGCTGAGATATCGAAACTCAAAAATTCGGCCCGAAAAAAAACGACAGTGGTACCCCTTACGTTTTTTTTTTTTCGGGCGAAAAATTAAGTTTCTCCAATCTTCCAAAACTCTGGATTCTGATAGAGGGCCATGAGACTTAGACCTGAGTGCAAAAATGGAGGCTCTAGCCCCTTCCAGAGCTGAGATATCGAAACTCAAAAATTCGGCCCGAAAAAAAAAAACGACAGTGGTACCCCTTACGTTTTTTTTTTTTTGGGCGAAAAATTAAGTTTCTCCAATCTTCCCAAAACTCTGGATTCTGATAGAGGGCCATGAGACTTAGACCTGAGTGCAAAAATGGAGGCTCTAGCCCTTCCAGAGCTGAGATATCGAAACTCAAAAATTCGCCCCAAAAAAAAAAACGACAGTGGTACCCCTTACGTTTTTTTTTTTCGGGCGAAAAATTAATTTCTCCAATCTTCCCAAAACTCTGGATTCTGATAGAGGGCCATGAGACTTAGACCTGAGTGCAAAAATGGAGGCTCTAGCCCCTTCCAGAGCTGAGATATCGAAACTCAAAAATTCGGCCCGAAAAAAAAAACGACAGTGGTACCCCTTACGTTTTTTTTTTTTCGGGCGAAAAATTAAGTTTCTCCAATCTTCCCAAAACTCTGGATTCTGATAGAGGGCCATGAGACTTAGACCTGAGTGCAAAATGGAGGCTCTAGCCCCTTCCAGAGCTGAGATATCGAAACTCAAAAATTCGCCCCGAAAAAAAAACGACAGTGGTACCCTACGTTTTTTTTTTTGGGCGAAAAATTAATTTCTCCAATCTTCCCAAAACTCTGGATTCTGATAGAGGGCCATGAGACTTAGACCTGAGTGCAAAAATGGAGGCTCTAGCCCCTTTCAGAGCTGAGATATCGAAACTCAAAAATTCGGCCCAAAAAAAAAACGACAGTGGTACCCCTTACGTTTTTTTTTTCGGGCGAAAAATTAAGTTTCTCCAATCTTCCCAAAACTCTGGATTCTGATAGAGGGCCATGAGACTTAGACCTGAGTGCAAAAATGGAGGCTCTAGCCCCTTCCAGAGCTGAGATATCGAAACTCAAAAATTCGGCCCGAAAAAAAAACGACAGTGGTACCCCTTACGTTTTTTTTTTGGGCGAAAAATTAAGTTTCTCCAATCTTCCCAAACTCTGGATTCTGATAGAGGGCCATGAGACTTAGACCTGAGTGCAAAAATGGAGGCTCTAGCCCTTCCAGAGCTGAGATATCGAAACTCAAAAATTCGGCCCGAAAAAAAAAACGACAGTGGTACCCCTTACGTTTTTTTTTTTGGGCGAAAAATTAAGTTTCTCCAATCTTCCCAAAACTCTGGATTCTGATAGAGGGCCATGAGACTTAGACCTGAGTGCAAAAATGGAGGCTCTAGCCCCTTCCAGAGCTGAGATATCGAAACTCAAAAATTCGGGCCGAAAAAAAAACGACAGTGGTACCCCTTACGTTTTTTTTTTTTCGGGCGAAAAATTAAGTTTCTCCAATCTTCCCAAACTCTGGATTCTGATAGAGGGCCATGAGACTTAGACCTGAGTGCAAAAATGGAGGCTCTAGCCCCTTCCAGAGCTGAGATATCGAAACTCAAAAATTCGGCCGAAAAAAAAAACGACAGTGGTACCCCTTACGTTTTTTTTTTTCGGGCGAAAAATTAAGTTTCTCCAATCTTCCCAAAACTCTGGATTCTGATAGAGGGCCATGAGACTTAGACCTGAGTGCAAAAATGGAGGCTCTAGCCCCTTCCAGAGCTGAGATATCGAAACTCAAAAAATCGGCCCGAAAAAAAAACGACAGTGGTACCCCTTACGTTTTTTTTTTTGGGGCGAAAAATTAAGTTTCTCCAATCTTCCCAAACTCTGGATTCTGATAGAGGGCCATGAGACTTAGACCTGATGCAAAAATGGAGGCTCTAGCCCCTTCCAGAGCTGAGATATCGAAACTCAAAAATTCGGCCCGAAAAAAAAAAACGACAGTGGTACCCTTACGTTTTTTTTTTTTTCGGGCGAAAAATTAATTTCTCCAATCTTCCCAAACTCTGGATTCTGATAGAGGGCCATGAGACTTAGACCTGAGTGCAAAAATGGAGGCTCTAGCCCCTTCCAGAGCTGAGATATCGAAACTCAAAAAATCGGCCCGAAAAAAAAAACGACAGTGTACCCCTTACGTTTTTTTTTTTTTCAAAAAAAAAA